AATAAGTGTTCCCAACTAATGGGCAAAACAAATTTCACCTCACTTACAGTGAGTCAATTTCTTCAAGGAGACTTTCACAATTTCCAGTGGACTAGGCCTACAGCAATCTGAGCCTACCAGGCTGTGGCATTTCTCTCCAGGATCTGGAACCTAAAGGAACATAAATATGTAGGTCTTTCCAGTGGAAAGAGCAATGGTTTGGGACTTAAAAGACATAGGTTCAAATTCCAGCTCTGCTATTAACCACCCTGTGACCTTGGTTAAGTCACTTAACTTCTCTGGACCTCAGGTCTTCATCTGAAAAATTAGGAGTATGGAGTTGATGACCTCTTTGGTCCTTTGCAAATCTACTCCCATGAATCTAGGATTCCAGCAAGTAAAAATGACAGATAAATTACAAATTTGCTCTCTATAGCTATGCTTTTGCATGAAGATTGTTAAGGAGGGTAAAAGAAGGGGCAGCTAGGTGGCACAGTGGATAGAGCACCAACCCTGAGTCAGGAGGACTTGAGTTCAAATGTGGCCTCAGACCAAACACTTGACAATTACTAGCTGTGTGACCCTGGGCAAGTCATTTAACCCCAATTGCCTAAAAAAGAAAAAAAAAAGGAAGGAGGGTAAAAAAAAGATATGAAAACTAGGCCTTAAAGAAAAGCAACATCTAGGGGCAGCTAGGTGACACAGTAGATGGAGCACTGGTCCTGGACTCAGGAGGACTTGAGTTCAAATCCGGCCTCAGACACATAACACTTACTAGCTGTGTGACCCTGGGCAAGTCACTTAACCCCATTGCCTAACCACAAATAAAAAAAGAAAGAAAGAAAAGAAAAGCAACGCCTTGTTATGGTTGCTGCTGTAGCTATTGGTTTTATGAATAATATATGCAACGCTCCACACCTGCAGTTTTCCATCTCTACAAGGAAGGGAGGGAGTTAACATTTACTTCTCTCCTCTCCAGAGTTCAACGGGATCATTATAATTGCAGAGGATTTAGTTTCATTTTTGCTGTTTTTCTTTACATGTACACCTTATATTTATTGTGTATATTGCTTGCTTGGTTCTGCTAACTTCACTCTGCATTAGCCTATATAAATCTTTCCATGAGAAGCCATGGGTTATAGTAGAAAGAGTCCTGGACATAGAATCAGAAAATGAAGGTTCAAATCTGACCTCTGATATTTATTCACTAGGTGACTAAGGGCAAATCACTTAAACTCAGAGCGTCCATTTCCTCATCTGTAAAATGAGCATAATAATACTCATACTGACTACCTCATGGGGTTGCTGGCAAAGAGCTTTGTAAGGGTTAAAGCTTATATGTATGAGGTTTGATGGCCTATGTTCTGAAGTATTTACAATACACATTGGCAGTAAAAGTTTAAGGGGTTTTAATTTACTAATGAAACCAAGCTAATTTATTTTTCCTCAAATTCCTTACATTTGACTGAACTAATAGAATATAGATCCTTTAGTGGCAGGGACTTTTGCCTTGATCTTTGTTTCTCCAGCACCTAGTAAGTTCCTGGTGCTTAGTGGGTGCTTGATAAATGCCTCTTGAATGCAATTTAACTTTTCCCTAAATGTTATCATTTTGCTCTCATTCAAAGTGCACTTCCTCTATCCACTTGTAATAGTGTCATAATACAGAGCTCCTTAATTTTTCTCTATACTTCTCCTTTATACAATTTAAACACTTAGTCAATAAGCATTCATTATGCTTCTATTATATACCAGGCACTGTGCTAAGTTCAACCATGGCGGTAGCTCCACAATATCACCAGCCTCTCAATCATAATTCCATATATCCAAGGAGTTACTAAATCTGACCAATTAGCTCTTCACATAATGTCTTCCACAATACCATATTCTCCTCAAATTTTCTGCCTCCATCTATCAATTTTACAGATGATGCTATTGGCAGCAAAAATGATCTCTGTCTTTCATGGTAGAAAGGTAGGGGTATGGAAGAAAAGGTGAAAGGGGTGAAGGAGCAGGAGAGAAATGTAATCAAATCATAATGCTTTCCAACCTAGGTTCATGGGAAGAAATTGAGCAGACAAAAGAAAAAGAGAGAGCGTTCCAGGAAGAAAAAATGTTGAGATCAAGAGTCCAAATCAAGAATTGCTTGGTGTATATGAGGGCTAGTTATCCAGTCTGGTTGGAGTACAAAATATATGTAATAAATAGAGAAAAGTGTTTTATTGTGAGGAGCCTGAAATATCAAACTGAGGAGGGGGTTTGAACTTTGCTTAGTAAGCAATTGGGGTATTGAAGGGTTTTGAACAGAGAAGTGATATGACTAGATCATTAGAAAATATCTGGCTATCTTGTGTCTTGGAAGTGTAAAGAGTGGAAGAAGGAAAACCTTTTGTTTGAGGAACAGTAAAGACGACGGTGTCACTGAACGTAGGGTCGAGTAAGATATGATTGGAAAAAAAAAGGAGGGTACTAGGTTATGAAATAATCTTAGCAAAGTACCTGGAACATAGTAAGTGCTTAATAAATGCTTGTTTTCATTATAAAGGACTTTGAAGTAAAGTCAGAATGAGCAACAAGTTGGGGTGGGGGTGGTGGGGGATAATGAGCTTAGAGTAGGATACGTTGAAATTGCTGGTCTAGTAAAGTAAAAATTTCCTATACTCAGCAGAATGTGCTCCTGAATCTCAGGAGAAGGGGTCAGACTGGATATATAGACTTGGAAGTCATCAGTATAGAGATAACAGCAGATACCGTGAAAGTGAATGAGATTGTCAAGACAGAGAACACGTGGTGAAAAAAAAAAAAGCCAAGGACAAAACCTTGGGACCTACCTTTATGGGATGGCAAGAAAATGATGAAGGAGCAAAAGAGGGAGTATATGAATGATTAGAGAGGTAGGAAGAAAACCAGGAGTTTCTAGTATCTCTAAAGCATGGGCAGTAGCATCAAATGATAGAGAAATGTCAAGGAAAATGAAGACTAAGAAACAGCCATTAGATTTAGAATTAAGGGGTCAATGGAGACCAATGGGAGAGGAGTTTTAGTACAGTGGTAAAGACAGAAACAGATTGAACAGGATAAGGAAGCAGTAGAAGGATTGGGCACATAAAGCATTTTGTTATGATAAAGTCCTATATAAATGTAAGCTGTAACAACCTGAGAACACTGTTTGCTAAGATAGGAATCAGTCTGAACTTCATGATTTTTAAGTTTACCGATGTAATAAATTCTTTGCTGTTCAATTTCACTTCCAGTTGGCAAAATCTTTCTCCTGGATCTTAGAATAATGGCTGAAAAAGCTTTTTTTTTTTTAAATGTCAGTAGCTTACACAAAACAATATTCTAATGAATAGTAAAAGTATAAGTGAATCCAAAACATATAAAATAAATTTCCCCTCAAAGTCCACTTAGATTTAGACATTAGGTTGGAGGAAGGTACACATCTGACAAGACATTTTGAGTTTTAATGATTACACAAATTTTTTTGAAAAGATATATTTTCCTAAATCCAAAATATGATATTATTTTACTCCCATCAAATAGAACAGCTCAAGAACGATAAATATCTCATCCATAAGAATATTGGTCTAATTTATTTAGCTATAGGTTTTATTTGGTTTGTAGCTTCCTTTTTATTTTCTATTAATCAAGCAAGAATTTTAATGCCAAGATTAAAAAGTATGCCAGAGGCATTGTAGTCTGCCAGAAGCTTAAACTGGGAATTAGGAAATTTAAGCTTCTTTCTGGCTTTTCCAATGCCTGCATGTGTGATGTTAAAGAAATAACTGCCTCTGTACCTCAGTTTCCTCCTTAGTAAAATGTCACTTTAAAAATTTGGAACAGTGATTTCATTGGCATAAAGAATTTTCAAAGATGCTCTCTTCCAATGCAAAGGGAGTTGTTTAGATGATTGAGATTAAATGACTTGCCCAGCACTGCAAAACCAGAATACCTTAGAGATGAAAATTGAACCCAAGCGTTTCTTTCCTCTAGGTCTGGATCACCATCAACTATACTATGCTGCCTCTCAAAGTGCTGCTTATGATTCCTATTTTCATAAGGCAAACATTGTAGTGAAAAGTTTTTCATTGAGGATGATAGAATGTTTTTGTAGAAATTTCTCCACTATTCATCAATAATTTCCTAGTATAAAAATAATGAATGGTGAATGAATGAATGAAAATCAATATTCTATTTAGCCAAATATAAGAAAAAACTCATTTGTGTTGCCAGCAACTACGAATCACCTAACGGGAGAGCGTGAACTGAAGAAACGTGGGCCAGGCGGGTCAGCCAAGACTGAACCTTTTATTCATCTGAGGGTCACAGCATATATAGGAAAAAGTCTGGAGCTACAAAAGATCCCTTGTATGGGAAAACTATGCATATTCTGTAACTGTTACTGACAACTTTCAAGGTTCAGAGCTGGGTAAAAAAATTGCTTTCAGGACATACATCAAAGGAGCATACAATAAAAGTATCAAGAAAAGGATTACATACATTTTAAACAAATGGTTACAAGATAGAGATTAACAGTCAATTAACAGGCCTTGACAATCATTCTCAGGGCTTTCTCAGGTTCTTATCTCGAAGTATGTGACTAGTCCTCCCTAGTTTGCCACGTTATCCCTCATGCCAGACTTTTATTGTGTCACGGTCGAGCAGTTCCAGGAGCCCCTTAATGAATAGAAGAGTGGTGAGCCAACATCCTGATTAAGTGAGCCCTTGAAGGTAAGAACAGGAAGGAGTTAAATTCCAATCTGAATTCTTTAACACTTTGCTGGACTGATCAGAGCTGGCCCTCGACATCTCCCCCTTTTAATTTTTGTTGAAGCTTGAGGTGAAGAATGTCTGTGGCTAGAGATTTTAACCATGACTTTATCAGTGCAGCTGCACACGGGAGAACAAGGATTAATAAAACTAATATTAATAAAAGAAATAAAAGTAATAAAAACTAGGATTAATAAAAATTAATAAAATTAATAAAAATTAAACTAGGATTAATAAAATTCCCCAAGAAAAAAGGTGAAGTAATAAATCAGTGATATTTTTGGAAATATTTAACAAGGCCAATTTTTCTAAGATTTCTTGTGCTAAATTCTGAGGATGAATCCCTGGGAATAGACTGTCGGAAATAGCCTGGGTTACATTTATAAGAAAAGATAAATCAGCTGCATAACTGCTATTTTGCCAAAAGATAAGATATTATTATTAGATAAGAATCTAATGATTCTTTATACTATCCCAATGTACTATACTAGAGTTATAAGCTATAGGAGTAACACATATCATAGTAAAATGATAATCACATTTCAATTTCGCTCTAAATACTGATTCTGCAAGTTCTTCTCCAATATATAGCACAGATTGCTCTAACAGATTAACTTTATATGATAAATCCCTATCAATAGCTTCTTGAGCTCATAAGGCTAAGCTAATATTTTTTGCAAGCTCATTTACAAATCATGCATCTTGTATCTCTGACTGCAATGCAATAAAAGACAGGGTGGATATAATAATTAAGGAAGCGACAGAAATTAATCCAGTAATGAGAAGCCCAACAAATCTTTTTTGACCTGTGTAGTGATGATGAGATGAGTTGAAGGACATGTTCCCTAGAAGATTGGAACCATTCATGAGAAAGGTTAGTGGGAAAAAACAGCAAAGGATGGTTGCTCAACCAATAGAACAATTTTGTCATTTTGATCAATACATTGCTTGATAATACAATTAAGACAGGTTACATTCCATTCTAAAGTACTGGATTGTGTCAAGTTCACAAATCCAGGTTCTAAACTATTGGAGAAGGAGGAAGCTATCATAAATGCTTGAGGGGTTTTATACAAGCTTTAAAGGAAAATAAGTCCAATGCTGGTCACAATGTCCATATAACGGTTGGGTAGAGAGCAAGGGAATCATTGCAAGTCTTTTCTTTCTCTTCATAGTTCGCTTCCGTTTTTGCTGCAGGTTCAATTCCTTCATCTGGGCAGTGAGCAGTGGAACAGGCTCGAACATTTTTCTCTGGAATCCAGACAGGTTTATCAAAGGTTTCTGGAAAGACACAAACATACCCTTGCCCCCAGGTTAGTAATGGATCTGGATCTTCCCACTTCCCTGTAAGTGGGTCCTTCCACATAACTCTGGCTTCAGGAAACCTTCATTTTTGAAAGTGTTTTTCTGCAGGTGCAATCCAATCTTTATTGACATTCAAAAAATTTAAGGTATATAAAACCTGGGCTAATTGTCTGGAGGGGGTAGTAGTCCACAATTTGGAGGGTTAGGAAACAAAAATATTATGACTTTTTCAAGTCTAGATTAACAGTATAAGTGCACTAGATTCAGAATCAGGAGAATGGGTTTAACACAAATTAGTTGTATGATCATAGGCAAGTCTCAACCTCTCCAAAGCCATTTCCTTTTCTATAAAATGAGGATTATAATTCTGGTACTTCCTACATCATCAGGTTAATTATTCTGAGGTAAGTGCTTTATAAACCTTAAAACCATATGTAAATCATTATTATTTGGAATGGAAAACCTGCTTTCAGAAGAGCACTGGCTCCAGAATTAGAGGATGTGAGTTCGAATTTCACCTCTGACACAACTTGTGTGACCTTGGGCAAGTCACATCACATTTCTAGGATCAAGTTTCTTTGACCGTAAAAGCAGAGGTTGAATTAGATAAGGCAAGCATAATAGTGATAGCATTTTTCATTTCTCATTGAGGATGGTAGTGAAAGTAGAGGCTGGATTAGACATCCACTGAGGACCATCCCATTTCCAGAATTATGATCCTATGACTCTGTGAATCCCAGCTCTCTTCTTTACTACTTGTTTGAGGCGGGAGGGGAAGAGAAGGAGGAGGAAGACGGTGACGATGGCTACTAGGGATATTAGAGTATATCTCTAAGTCTCCTTTCATCCCTAAATCCCATGGTGCAATGACTTGACATAGTTTAGACAAGTATCTTGGGATTAGTCCTTGTTATTCTTCCTCCTCACAATTTATATTAAATTCATCTAAAATGTTCTTTATTTAGTTCTAGGGCTCCCATGAATTTTTCAGATAGAAAAAAATAGGAAAAAAACTCAGGGAGAAAAAGGGATCCGTGTGTAGTGGGGCAAGGGCAAGGCCTCAGTATTCATAATTTTACCCCTGCTTGGTTTTTGTTCCTGTAACCAAATCATTTAGCCTTCTGTTTTTCAATCTGTACTCCAGAGAAAACAATCGCTCCACAAATGCATATTGAAACCATAAATGCTAACTAGTAATTATTCATAGAATTCAATGTGCATCATTATTTTCTATATCACTGATAACTACCATCAGTAGGGAGAAGGGGAGTAGGATAAAGGTTCCAAGATCTCCCAGCTCTTCTCATCGGCAAAAGTTTTAGTTTGTTTAACAATAATATAATTCATTAATTCATTGAACAAATATTTATTGAACACCTGCTGGGTCCTAGAATAAATTTCATTTTTCTCTACTGTTTATAACACTGTTATCCCACAGCTTCTAATAAATTTCATTTTTCTCTATGGTTTATAACATTGTTATCCCACAGCTTCTAAAGATGAAAGCAAAGCTTAACAGAAGTGATGATGGGAAAACAGGCCGGAAACACCAGAGACTAAAGCTTCACCTACAAATGAATGAAAATGTTTTGGGGGGACTAAACTGCAGAATTGGAGGACACGTAAAATGGGAGAAGGGAATAATGAGACAGAAGAGAATGTATCCCACAGTTTCACTCCCTAGCCATCAGTGAAATTCCTAAATAAAGCAGAATCCCTGAAATTCATTCAGAGAAAGTAACATGAAGCAATCCTTATTTAGCCTCCTATAGTTTCCTTTTCATAGAGGACTAAGACTAAAGACAATCATGTTGATTATTAATGATAATAATCTGGGTCCCCCATAAAATGGAGAACTAGATATTTTCTCCAATCTTCACAACCTATCAAAACTCCCCAAAAGAATAATTACACACAAAAGGTAAACTAATTTCTGCTGTCTCCACTAACAATTGGCAGACCAAACCCTAATCCCTAACAAGTTTATTCATCATTCCCAACCCCACAAGACCCCACGCTTTAGCAGGGTGGCACAATACAGCCTTATAATCTGCAATTCACTCAGAAATTCTTTGTTGCCACCACAGTCTTGGACAATACATCCACTGCCACTGTCCTCAAGCCACTATTTTGTGGCAACAAGCAACAGAACTTTGCTCCCACCCCACACTTACTCTGATTTCAGGAATAGCATGTGTGCTATTCCTCTAAGGCAACACTCAACTAGAGAGCTATGGAACAAAGGGAACTAGAAGAGGAGACAAGTGAGCAAGGTGTGTGGAACTCCATCAGGTCTGAAGAAAAGGGGAGTGGCATTCAACTGAGGTGAATCCTATCTCCCAAGAAGTTACTTGGGACAGCAACTGAGGACTGTGAGAAGCAGAATGAGGCTGAAAGAACTTTAAGGTTCAGCCCTAAGGAGATTTGGTGCCAAAATAGAAGGAATCAGAGAGTGAAAATAGGGGAATGTGGAGGAAGGGGAGGAGAATGGAACTTAGCAAATATCTCAGAATTTTAAAAGCTCAGTTAAAAACCTTGATAACTTAATAGGAAATGTATTAATAACAGTAGAGAAAATGGCCTCAAGGAAACCTAAACAAGCCCAAACATCTCTGAATAAAAATTTCAGGAAGACAAAGGAAAATGAATCAACCATAATGAGGCAGAGAATACTATGGATACCCAAGAGGGCATGGAACAAGAATAGATGTTCCTAAATGGTTCAAGAGAAAAATAAGAATCGCGAATAAAGAATTTATGACCTTCATAGAAAAAATATTAGTAGAATAGAAAAACCTTGATTCACAATTGTAAGTCTCTCCCAAGAAATGAAAGAGAGAATAGAAGATTGGGAATGCAAATCCACAGAAGTGAAAGACAATCTGGAAGAAGAGAAGATAATAATAATAATAACAATACTTTTTAAAATCATGTTCTTTATACCAGTGAAACCTAATGATCTTGAAAATAGGATGCATAGAGACAATTTTATAATTCTAGTTCTCCCAGGAAAACATGACAAGTCAAGAAATCTAAGTACTACAATGCGAAAAAAAAAAAAAAAGATACAAGAAAATGACCCGGAATTTCTGAACACAAAAAGCAAAGAGCCAATTGAAAGAATCCACAGACCACTTCTGGGGGACAGAGGAGGGAAACTACATTACAAATTCCAAGATACATAAAGGTTAAATTTTTAAACTCCAGTGACAAACAACAAATTCTGTAAGTGACCAGGAAAAAGACCTTCAAATATAAAGAGAAGGAAATTTGAATAACAAAAGACCATTCTGTACCCTCAGAAACTGCAGGATGAAATGAAATGTGTTCCAAAGAGCAAAGAAACTCAAGTTGAAACCCAAACTGACATACTCTGAAAAGCTGAGCTTATTCATCCATAAAAAGATGGACATTTAATAAGAGAGGCGTTTAAAGCATTCCTACCAAAAGAGAGAGAGATCAGAATTGATTTGCTTTTCACATATGCCAAACAAGCCAGAAACACAAAAAAGATAAACAAATATATTAACCAAGGAAGACACATTACAAAATAAATTACCCTAGTAGGGGGAAAAGCATAAAGAGAAGGACAGCTATGGGGTTAAAAACAACAGCAGCAGCAACATCAATAACAACAGCAAAAGGAGTATTATGGTATTCATTCTAAAATTTCACACAAAGACAAGGATGAAAGCAAAGCTTAACAGAAGTGATGATGGGAAAATAGGCCAGAAACACCAGCGACTAAAGCTTCACCTACAAATGAATGAAAATGTTTTGGGGGGACTAAACTGCAGAATTGGAGGACATGTAAAATGGGAGAAGGGAATAATGAGACAGAAGAGAATGTATGCTGTACCCTAATCAAGCTGATGATAAACAATGAAGGGAAAATTTCTATAGACTCTCAGGAAGAAGGTCTATCGGAGAATGTGCTAGGTGGCACCATAATGCATAGAATGCCAGGCCTAGAGTCAGGAAGACTCTTCTTCTTGAGTTCAAATCTGGCCTCAGACACTCACTAGCTGTGTGACCCTGAGTAAGTCATTTGACTCTGCCTGTTTCCTCATCTGTAAAATTAACTGGAGAAGGAAATTGCAAACCACTACAGTATCTTTCCCAAGAATACCACAAATGGGGTCACAAAAAGTAGAACACAATTAAAAAGACTGAACAACATGAGAATGGGTGTGGTCATTAAGAAAGACTTCAAACACAGGCAAAGAAAATGGAAGTCTTAATTTCTTAATTGAGTGGTGGGATGAGGCCCCACTGAAGGACACTCCCTTGCAGATCATCTATAATGGGAGATCATGACCTCACAATGGATATAATCTGCAAGTATTTAATATGTGTCTAGAGAGATCATTACCCCCTGAGAAAATGTACCCCAATAGATAGCATCCTGCCTCAGGACAAAAGGAATCAGAATTCCTGGAAGTAACTGACATCTAGAGGAGTGTGAGAGTATGGATCCAGAAGAAGGTTTCATGAAAAATGAGGGGAAATTTTATCGAGAGGAGAGGCCCTAGGTAGCATTGTAGATAGATACAGTGCCAGGTATAGAGTCAAAAAGACCTGATTTCAAATCTGTCCCCAGACACTCAGTAGCTGGATGACCCTGAGCACATCACTTAACCCCTATTTTTCTAAGTTTTTTCATCTGTAAAATGGGAATAATACTTCCCACAGTTGTTGTGAGGATCAAATGAGATAATAAAGTGCTTACCACAGTGCCTGACACAGAGTAAGCACTATATAAATATTAAGTATCATCATCATCATCATTATGAGGGGGTATTAATGAACTACAAAAATGGGGCAAAGTAAAATTCTACCCTAAACCACTAATTCTATCTTCTCTATTTTTGTTCAGTAATTCATTCTTATATAAGTGGAGCAAAATAGAATAAAAAAAAGACCATAATATAAAAACTGTTTAGAAGAGGGACCTCAAAAGAGGTATTTTAAAGGAT